GAGCCCTGTGCTGCTAAGCAGTGCTGCCTCCCAGCAGCACGGGGCACGTGTGCCTGTCTCCTGGGCCTGTGACTGCACGGGCTGGGATAGCCAGGAACTCCTTCAAGATGAGCCAGGTGCTAGAATTCGGAAGGACGGGCAGGATGGAGCAGCCTGGCTAGGAAGTCAGGAAATAGCACCAGTAAAAAACTAAAACAAAGGAAGTCTGCGAAAAGCAAGATCAAGTAGAGGAAAACTCAGTCTCTTAAAGTACGGGAATTTCGTTATTTAGGTAGCAGAGCTTTGTGGATCTCTGGGGATTTGTAAACCCCCTTTAAAGACCAAAAGAATATTCGATTTACTAATCGTAGGTAGTAATCTTTTCAAAATGTACTATATATGCCTCTCCTTCCTTGAAGTACCTAAAAAAAAAAAAAGGACTTTAACCGTTATGATTCAGATTTGTCATGAAAACAACGTGGCTATGTTGCAACTCAGTGACATCGTTAATGCTTATTAAGGTGTACAGACATTTACTCCTACCATAAATGATTTCAGACTAGTGTGGGTTTTGATACTTATGTCTGTTTTTCACTTATTTCTGTTCCTTAGTTTTCAGCTATTGCTTCTCCTTATTATATGCTTCTAATAGCGTCTTCTTAATTTTCAACTTTACCTAGGATATCAGATAACCAAGTTTATTAGAATTGTATGTAAAACAAGAATAATTGCCTCTGAATAAGTACCTGTAAGTTCAATGCATGACTTTTGTGACATCTGTTTGGCTTCTTAGAATCCTTATTTTGCTGACTTCCTGATACCTTGTTTCTTTCCCTTGCTCCAAGTTCATGAGTTGAGATCGAATAGGGTAATTAGGGTCAAATAGGTCTTTAGGGAGTTGATAAGGCCAGACTGAGAAGTAAACAACAGAAGACAGCCTTTCATTCAACTTTAAATTGTATTAAAATTCTCCGTAGGGTTGGGGTACGGGCTTTTCCTCCTGTCAAGGATGGACTGGGTGGAGGTTTCATCAATTGTCTCTAAGAATCCGACAAGCTCTCACTGAGGGGTAGGCTGCTATTACTCCCCTGCAGAGTTGGAGGTCAGAAGCTCAGATAAAGAAAGGTCAGTGTTTGATGGTTTAACACCATGGATGTGGGTGGGAAGATAGGGTAAAAAGAGACCCACTGTCAGTCTTGACTCAGAAACGTCATTCCTCCAGGACCCAGTCTTTTTGTGGCAGCTCCATAAGGGAGCACTACAGACTATGAAACCAAGAGACTCACTGATGGTCCCTATGCTGTAGCGCCAAGGTCAGGATTGGTGTCCTTTGCCAGCTCGTGCATACCCCATCACTCAGCCGTGCCTTTTACCCTTCCTCTTTGTCCTGCTTCTCTCCAGTGTCTCAGAGCCTTCTCTGCTCACCCAAGGCTTGGCTGTGCATCTGCGGTTGGGGTCCCATTCTCATTTGCAGATGGATCCTGCTGCGTGTTCCTCAGGGCTTGGCCGAGTGGTGGGCGGGAGGAGTCTGCTGCAGCTGGAGCCCGACCCGAGCGGGTGGGTAGCTGGCCTGGGTCCGGAGTTGCTTCACTCTTCTGGAACAGGCACCTCCGTCCTCAGAACTAGCAGCAGGTCTCTCTTCACATCTGGAAAAGTTCAAAAGTGTTTGTCTGGGTGAAGGAGGCCCCTTGGGGGAGGGGGATTCAAAAGCATGACAGCATCTCAGCCAGGCCCATCTTCTTTTGGAGAGAGAAAAGGTCTGGGCCAGACTGCATCAAATGGGATTCCCAGGAATTGACGTGTTGGGAAAAAGGCAGGATAGGGTGGACAGGAGGAGGAGTGTCGGGTGGGGGAGGTTCCAGGGGTGTCTTGGAATTGTGGCTTGAGAGGGTGATCCTTTAATTCAGTGTCCACATGCTACCACAGCCTGCCCCTTCACACCTTAGAGTCAGATTGGTGAGAGGGCCCTATATCAAAAGGAAAAAGACTGGATCTGCTTCCACATCTATCCTATTTTGATCAACCCACCTCCCACCTAAGCCAGACAGGAGCACATCCTTTTCTCGCCAGGAGTGTAGGGAATACATTTAGATCCTTAGCAGTTTAGACCCAGCCCAAGCCTCTTGCTACATCCACTCAAGTATCAGCTAAACCTCTATGTCCTGTTTCTACTTGCCCCACATGAACCATGGTCTTCCTTCTTGACCAACACCTTGATGATCCAGGTTCTTCATCTCTAAGATGGGCATAGTAAGATATCCCATCTTCCCCCTGTTTACCTCACACATAATATAAGACATGATGGTTGCACCCACCATTAATGTCAATCTACTTGCAGCAGGCTTCAGAGGGAGGCAGATGTGGGAGAATGTGACACCTGTCATCCCCTTTAGGCAAAGCATTCTTGGCCCCAGGTTGATCACCTTGAAGCTAAAAGTCTAATTTCTGTCTTGATGTTGAGGTGTCGCTCTACACTGGCTGCTTACCTGGAAGCCTCTGAAAACTGTGGATCTAGTTATCAGTCAGGAAAATTGAGAGATAAGCTGTAGGGTGGGCTGGGACCCTCAGGGGCCTTTCCTTGAGGATGGAACTGCTGGTGAAAACTCTGCTCACCAAGTTCGCCCTCAACATTTACAGGGCCCAAGGCAAGAGTACAACAGAGGCCCACATTCTATGGGTTTAAATACTTCAAATCAGGCCAACTAATTGATAAATAAAATACCATCTATTTCCCTATCTTGACAAACATACTTCACAGCTACCTGGAAGGCCAGGTTTGAATTTGGGACTCACACATTCTTGGATCTCAGTGCCACAATGTGGCTGAGCAGGAAGAGATGGCCCTTGGCCCCAGCCCACCCCCCTTCTCTTCTTCCTACCCATGACTCTGACCCATACAGTGAGTGATCTTGCATGCGTGCATGGGACACCCCAGCCATACATTTAAGCCCCACCCCGTCTCCCTGCAAGCAGCCATCCCTTGGCTACCATTGGTCCCTGGGAGTGTACCCTGAAGCTACAGTTCACCCTCAGAAGCATGGAGTGGGAGAAAAGGTCCACACAGCACGTGAGCAAGTGATGTGAGCTGGATGTGAGCAAAGAGCCATCTGGACAAGAAGTTCTAGGACTACTGATCCCCAAAGTCTGATCCAGAAGAGAGGGGACATCCCAGTTAGTTCTCACAAGAGCTGGACAGGGTGTGGGCCCTGTAAAGTGCAGGGTCCAGGCAGGAGGCTTCTCCTTCCTGGGTCTAAGGATGGTTCCACTGGGTACCCCAGGATATGTGGAAGAAAAGAGCAAGGACCCTCACAAAGATCTTCAGAGAATAACTAGATCCAGGAACATTATATTATAGTAATTTAGCATCTGTTATTTCTTTGGTCCTCCCAACAATCCATGTAAAGTAGACAGGAAAGACCTTTACTTAAGAGATAAGTAAACAGACACACACACATGTGTTAAATACATAGTCAGTTCTTTCAGAGCCAGAACCTAGCTCTCTACCTTGGATGAGAAACCAGGCCTACGTTCTCTCGTCTATCAGCTGGATTCCTAGGTTGGAGCTTCCTGAAAGAAGTCTTGGGGCTTCCTGCTGCAGCTGAGTTTCTCAACAGTGGGAAAGGAGAATGGGTTTGAAGCCATGAGGGAAAGGATGAGGGGAGTTTTCGAATGGGGAAGTCTGAGAGTGATAGAAGATTTTTAAGAGAATTGCAGAGAGACAGTGTAAGTCTAGTGGTTATTCCAACTGCTGCAGCTGAGTTTCTCAACAGTGGGAAAGGAGAATGGGTTTGAAGCCATGAGGGAAAGAATGAGGGGAGTTTTCGAATGGGGAAGTCTGAGAGTGATAGAAGATTTTTAAGAGAATTGCAGAGAGAAAGTGTAAGTCTAGTGGTTATTCCACGAGTTAATATATTGGAAGAAGACTGACTAAAAAAGAGAAGGATGCATTGAAAAGGAAATAGAAGTATGTCCTCCCTTGCATTTTAGATCTTTGCAGTATTTGTGCAGGTGTAATTTTACATTTTAGTCTTTTAGTAAAGATGTTATGAGCATTGCCTTATATTTCCATATTGCTACAGTTTTTATAAATTTTTATTTGTAATGGTTGTGTATATATTTTGTAATGATTGCGGTATATTAGGTACATATACCCATTTATCCTGCTATAATTCATTTGGTTGCTTGCAACTTTTCCCTCCCATAAAAGTATTATACTAGATGCTCGTCTGCCAACACATTTTTCCTTCCCTATTTCCTTAGGACAAATCTAGTAGTGGGAAATTAGGCCACTGTTCAGGAAGATGTTCTTATTGCTGCTCCATTGCCAGGGGCAGCAAGGAATATTTCAGACAGTTTCTTCCTGAAATCAAGAAATTTGAATCAGGTGATGTCATGAGGCTACAGGAAGGTTTCAGTTCTGATTTTCCTCCTCTTTCCCTATAGCCTCCGGGTTCACAAATACAGTCAACGTCACTACTATGGCCACAGAGTCATCTACCCAAGGAATATTTACAGTTGTTCCTACAAATATATCCA